GGTAGGTATTGCATAGAGGAAGCATAGGTGGTAGTTAGGGACATGAACACTGGAGCAGTCTTGCCTAGATTTGAATCCCAGCTCCTCCACTTACTTACTAGCTATATGACTTTGGAAAGTTACTTGATCTGACTGTGCTTCAGTTACTTGTTTATGAAACAGGGCAAATGTTAGTACCCAACTCACAGAGTATTAAATAATTTAATATTTGTGCTATGTACACATTAAATAGGTAACAGAGCCTGACTGGTGCAGCTCAGTGGATTGAGTGTCGTCCCATGGACTGAGAGGTCCTAGTTCGATTCTTGGTCAGGGCACAGGTTGCAGGCTCGATCCCCAGTAGGGGGCACGCAGGAGGCAGCCGATTGATGTTTCTATCCTCCTCTCCCTCACTCTCTTTCTCTTAAAAAGCAATTTAAAAACATTAAATAAATAAATAGGTGACAGAAATAGACTAAAAAGTAAGGAAGTACAGGGCATGTTGTCAGAAAACAGCAGTCCAATGTGCTTAGAAAGGAAGATTTAAAAAAAAAGGGTGATGAAGGCTATTAACTGTATTTAAAAGAGCTCTGCACAAGGAGGTTTTCCAACCTAATTCATAGATCAGCTGGACACCTTCAGGCAAATCATAAACTCTATAAAGCTGAATTCCCCCTCAGTAAAATGAGAAGGGTACAGAACTAGATGAACTGATTCTCTCTCAGCTCCGCAATTCTAGGAAATGAGCTAGGGAGTTATTAGAGGTGTGCACTATCCCATTCAATACCTACAACCACATGTACCTACCTACTGAGCACGTGAAATGTAACTGGTCTGAACTGGGATTTGTTCTAAATGTAAAATATGCACTATATTTCATAGACTTAGTACAAAAAAGGAAAAATATTACATTAATAATCTTATATTAGTTACATATTGAAATTAAGTTAAATATTATGGAAATTAATTTCACCTGTTTCTTTTTTACTTTTTTAAAAATGTATTTTATGGCCCTGGCCAGTTTGGCTCAGCGGTTAGAGCATCGGCCTGTGGTCCGGAGAGACCCGGGTTCAGTTCCCGCTAAGGGCACGTACATCGGTTGCGGTTTGTCCCCGGCCCTGGTTGGTCATGCGGGTGGCAACCACTCGATGTGTCCCTTTCACATCGATGTTTCTCTCTCTCTCTGTTCCTCTCTCTCCCTCCCACTCTACCTGAACAAAAAATGGAAAAATGTCCTAGGGTGAAGATGATAAAAAAAAATTTATTTTGTGGCTCACATTTCTGAGCATTTCTACTGGACAGCACTGTTACAGACTATTTTCAGATTACACAGAAGAAATGTGATTCTGTGGCCAAAGAGACAAAGAAAATGCAAGGAATTATCAGAAAGTTTTGAAAACACTCTTCTGGCCCCATGGTGTTGCCTAAGTCCTGTACTAGTTCAATTTTCCTTGCATTACCTGAAGAAAGACACAATGCAAAACCAAACAACTCAGGTAAGTAGAATGATCAATAAGACAGGCAATATGGTGATTGACAAGTATGTATGGAAGGATAAAGACTACAATCTATACCCTGGCCGGTTTGGCTCAGTGGTTAGAGCATAAGCCTGCAGACCAAAGAGTCACAGGTTCGATTCCGGTCAAGGTCACTTACCTAGCTTTCGGTTCCGTCCCCAACCCTGGTCAGGAATCCTGTGGGAGGCAATTAATCAATGTGTGACTCTCACATTGATGTTTGCCTCTGTCTCCTTTTTTTCTCTCCCCCTCCCCTCTGTCTCCCCCTCCCTCCCTCCAACTCTATCTGAAGATAAATGGAAAAATATCCTTGGGTGAGGATTAAAAAAGACTACAATATATGACAACAATCTATAAAATGAGATAGAGGCTGAATGAGAAGGCACGAAAGGTTGTTCACCAAATATCGGAAAAAAGCAAGAGAAAATTCTTTGAAGCTTTACGGAGACATTTCAGACAAAGGTACAACTTTGCAGAGCCGGTAGCCTTATACAAAAAACTCAGGGATGGCCCTGGCCAGTTTGGCTTAGCGGTTGAGCGTCAGCCTGCGGACCAGAGAGTCCCGGGTTCAGTTTCTGCTAGGGGCACGTACCACCAAAAAAACAAACAAACAAAAAAAAAACTCAGGGATGGCTCAGACTAAACATAAAAGTGAGTTCCACAAAGATTACATTAATATTAATCCATAAAAGTAGTTACTATGGAATTACACAATTCTTTGTGTTGCATCTCTGAGATAGATACTACTTCTCCCAACCCCTACCATGGTAACTGTCTTCAGTTCCTCAGTAAAAAACTGAACGCCAACTCAATGTACAATTTCTTTGCTTACATGTCACCTTTAAGAACCATCTAAGAGATCAGACAATCTTCCCATCACCAGCCTAAATACTTAAGTTTAAATATTCAATAAACCTGCCTTTTATCATTCATTCTTCCCCTTAGCCAGATATAGAATCTGTATCTTCTATGATCGTTTTGAAATTTTTATTGTGGATGAGAATCACATGACCTTTTTTTCAAGAAAGGTTGTACTTTGGTCCACTCACTTTTTAATTTCATCCTTATTCCTTCAAAACAGTCATATAGATTTGATCCAGTACTAGTGATTTAACCACTTCCAATTTAGGTATAGAGAAATCATGATTAGATCTAGGATACCCTATGCACTTATTATTTTATTTAGTACCTCCAACTTCTAGTCAGTTTAAACACAGTGAATTTCTGTCTTTTCTACCAGAACAAATCTTTTCCATATGATCATTAAGTGGCCCCAATGATTAAACTTTTCTTCCTCTGACAGAATCTTACTTTGGTTTTAAAGCCCCTGAAAAGGTGTTCCTGGAGCCCGGCTGGTGTGGCTCAGTGGTTGAGCATTGACCCATGCACCAAGAGGTCTCGGGTTCGATTCCCGGTTAGGGCACTGCCCAGGTTGTGGGCCCGATCCCCAGTGGGGGGCGTGCAGGAAGCAGTCAATCGATGTTCCCTCTCATTGATGTTTCTACCTCTCTCTCCCTTCCTTTCTCTCTAAAATCAATAAAGAAGAAATTTTTTTTTTTAAAAGGTGCTCCTGGAATACTTTCTTGGCCTGCCTAATTTTAGTTTGCACTTCAAGCCAAGAAATAAAAACAAAATTAAATTTCTTTAAATACACCAAAGATGAGCAAATTAAATCACAAGCAATTAATCTGATAAAAACATTTCCAAGACAAAAAAAAGTCTCCACTTAGAAGAAAAACTCATAATTGTCCCCTGTGGTTTCCCAGAAGATTTTTTTTAAGTTTCTCAAGAAACAGATACACTCCGAATACAGTCCAATTGTGTTGCAAGGGGAAATAAAATGGTTTAATATTTCCTTGAGGTGGGAAGGAAATCTAATGCTTATCAAACTAAGAGGTCTTAAGAAAATCCAACTGATTATCCAAAGCATTTCAATATCCAATTTCAAGTTAACATCAACATACATTTTCATAATAAACAATATTTTACTAATTATAAACACAAAGCTTAAATCAGCTTTACATATGCTAAAGAAAAAAATTCACCTCAATTCACTGATATACAAAAACCCACTTCACCCATTGGATGAACAATGCTTCCAAAAGATGTCTGGCTGGTTTTCCATGAACCGGGAACCAATGTTGCTTGTATCTTTGTTTCCTAAAAAAGCATCTAGCAGAAAGAAGCCACAAAGGACTCAGAAGAGCATGACAGCTACATTTCTACTAATACTGGCCTTGTCCTCATTTTTATTAAATTTTCCTATTAGGAAGAAGGAAATGCACAAGAATGACTCCCCTATAAGATAGCACATATAAACCTATAAGTACAAAAGTTACATTCACAACAGCTCCTTTGGCTTTCAACATTTTGCATACTTGTTGACTGTCGTTAAATATCAACTTCCTGTACCAAGAGATAGCAAAAGAAAAAACCTGTAACATCTTCCCTAAGAGAAAAAACTCATGGACAAAGATAAACTGCTTTAAACCCACAGCCTAAAGAATAAAAAGAATTCAAAAGCTACTGACAGTTTACCCACTTACCACATAGCAAATCGAAGTTAACTGAATAAAACAGACAGTAGCACTAACCGCTTAACACTGCTAGACACCCCAGGCCCGGTTTAACAAACGCATAAAAATAGAGTTGTCAAAGACTTAACATTCACTCCTTTAGCCACACATACATTTACTGTTACTTGGACTCGGCAGTAACAAAAAACACCTCCATTAGGAAGCCAAGAAAATGCAATCCTGGGTTAAGAAGGGATCGTGGGGGAACAAATTAAAGAAGAGAGAAGTATTTGCATTGAGGGACTACTAAATGATCCACTTAAATTAGCTTTGTCCACTTAAATTAGCTCAACAGCGTCCACGAAAACGGGATTCACATCGGATAAGCAGAAGAAAACCAACACTCCTGAAAAGCAATTGGGAGGAGTGGCAGGGAAAGACGGAGCCTTGACGTTGGCACATCTCCACCCAGCGGCTCCGGCCCCCCGTCTGCCCAGTCCTCAGGAACTAAGCGCACTGAGGCCGCGTTCCCGGGGCCGGGGACATCTGTCAGACGCCGGCCACCCGCGCTCCTGTCACCACCTCTGGAGGGGTGACCCCATCTCGAGGGCACTGCCCGCCGGAGCTCCGTCCGGACTCCGGGAGACCGGAGATGGGTTATGGGAAAGGAGTCTTCCTGGCACAGCTATTAGGGCTCGGAGCCCTGAGCCAGCCCGAAGGCCAAGAGGGGCGACCCTGGGGCAGAGGCCGCGACATCCCTCGGGATACCTGCTACGGACCCGGAACAGCATTCGGGGGACTCTGGCTCCCCCCTCGCTCTCCTTGCGACGCCAAATCGAACCTGGCCGCTTAGCACCGCGTCAGGCCTCCACCAAGCCGGGACGAGATGCTGGCGGGGGTCCCGCGCAGAGAAGGGCGGGCCGGCAGGCGCCCCACTGCCGGAAGGGGCGAGCCCCATCAGCAACACTCCCACCCCGACCCAGCTCACCTTCAGGTCGTTCTCCGGCAGGTACTTGCAAAGCCGCGCTATCTCCACATACTTGTCCAAGTCTAGGGGCGCCATTTTAGAAATAACAAGCCCCGACGGCGGCGGCGGCGGCGGCGGCTGAAGTAGCGGCGGCAGCGGCAGAGGCCGAAGCCGGAACTCTCCCTACGTCACGTCCGGCCCGTGAGAGGCGTCTGCGCAGCGGCGTAAAGCTTGACCCGAGTCTCCCCGCTGCCTCGACACGCCCCACGCCTTCTCCCGCTGAACTCGGGCTGCAGGCCCCGAGGGGTCCCCTCCGTCCAGACAATGAAACCTGCTGGGACCCGTAGTTGTCTGCCGCGGGGAATGCTGGGATTTGTAGTTTTGAGGATTGGCCAGATAATTCTCTTTTCCTGTTTCTTTCCTCTTGACTTTCATCCCTGGGGACCTACTGAGGCTTTTCCGATCAAAGCAACGAAGTAGGTAACCCTAATCATTCCCTGGTTTCTCACTTTGACCCATTTAATCATTCTCTCACTCGAATATCTTTAGTTAAAAATTAGGTAATCCTGGTCCTGGCCAAGTGACTTAGCTGGTTGGAGCGTCATTCCGTGAGCCAAAGGGTTGCGGGTTCCATTCTGGTCAGGGCACATACCTGGGTTGCGGGTTTGAATCCCTCCTGGTGGGAGTATGTATGGGAGGCAACCGATGGCTCTCTGTCTCTCACATCAATGTTTCTTTCTGTTTCTCTCTCTCCCCCTTCCTCTTGCTCTCTAAAATCAATAAAAACCTCAGTGCGGTTTTTAAAAAAAAGGATTTAAAAGAAAAGTAGGTAAGCCTGGCCATAGTAACCTGCTTGCGCCTTTGCTAGGCCTTGTGAAAACCTTGCCTAAATCTGTGGCAGAGATGTCAGGCTACCAGTCTTCCAGCCTGGAAGGAAAAGAAACAAATTAGTAAAGTGTTTCTTATGCTAAATTATATATAAGTGCTGTTTTTCTGTTTAATACTCACAACAGCTGATAGAAAAGAAAGACTTGGAGGGGTTAAGTAACTTGCCCCAAATCTCAAAGGGAATAGGCAGAAGGAGTCTAGATTGGAACTTAGGTCTACCTGGTTTAAGTATACCGCAGTGTGAGTCCCCCAGGGCAGGGAGTTTTTGTTGTACCCTCAGTGCCAAGAACAGGACCTGGCACTAGTATAGCTTCAACATTCGGGTTCATTCAACAGCTTTTATTGAACATCAACTATGTGCCAGGTACAATTGTAGGCACTTGGGATATTCAGCAAACAAAACAGACAAAGATCCCTAGCCTCAACACATAGCTACAGTCTAGTAGAGGAGACAGAACATAATAATTGCACAGTATATTAGAAAGCAATAAGGGGACGGGGGCAGCAGGATAAGGGAGATGGGATGATGCATTTTAAAGAACTAACAAAGAGGTGGGGGGTGGTTGGCTAGCCATGCAGGTACTAGAGGAGAATTATAAGGAAGAGCTGATGCAGAGGCCCTAAGATGAAAGAATATCTGGAATCTTGTAAATGACAAAATTAGTGTGGTTGGAGCAAGGTGAGAGGAATAGGAAAGGAGATGAGAAAAAAATCATGTTTTCTTTTTTCCCCCTGATTTTTAGTTTTAATGTAATAGGGAGTTATTGCAAGGTTATGAGCAGAGGAGTAATGTGATCTAACTCACTTTAGAAGGATCTGGTTCTGTATGAGACTAGGAGACAATGGTTGCAGCTGAGAGACCAGTTAGGGACATATAATCCAATTAGTAGTAGGTTCTCAATAAATGTTTGTTGTTTAAGTGGCCCTGCACTGGATCCTCTTGTTCTAAAGTGTATTTTGGGACCAGCAGGTGTGGCTCACTGGTTGAGCGTTGACCCATGCACCAAGAGGTCACCGGTTCAATTCCTGGTCAGGGCACATGCTCAGGTTGTGGGCCATATCCCCAGTGGGGGGCATGCAGGAGGCAGCCAATCAGTGTTCTCTCCCATCTATGTCTCTAACTCTCTCTCCCTCTCCCTTTCTTTCTCTAAAATCAATAAAAAAATAAAGTGTATTTTGGGGACATCTGGCTAAAATTTAATGAGGTTTCTGAGTGAAGTTCTTTGTATTATTCTTGCAACTATTCTGTAAGTATGAAATTGTTTAAAAGTAAAATTAATTTTTAAAAGTTTGTGGTAGAATGAATGATGTCCACAAGCATGCATTTTTTCATTCATTCAACAAATAGTTATAAAATATCTATGATGATCCAGCCCATGTGGCTCAGTGGTTGGGCATCAACCCATGTACCAGGAGGTCACCGGTTTGATTCCCAGTCAGGACACATGCCCAAGTTGTAGGCCTGATCCCCAGTAGGGGGCATGCAGGAGGCAGCAAATTGATGTTCTCTCTCATTGATGTTTCTCTCTCTCTCTCCCTCTCCCTTCCTCTCTCTTTAAAATCAATAAAGGGAAAAATAAAATAAAATATCTATGATGGTCTGGCTGGTGTGGCTCAGTGGATTGAGCATCATCCCATGGACTGAGAGGTCCCAGTTAGATTCCCAGTCAGGGCACATGCCCAGGTTGTGGGGGGTGTGCAGGAGGCAGCTGATCGATGTTTCTCTCCCTCTCTGTCTAAAAAATTAATAAAAATAAATAAGTAAATAAAATACCTATGATATGAATGAGATCATTATTATCCCTGCCTTCATGGGACTTATAGTCTGACAGAGAGACAAACAATAAACATATAAATGAGAAAACATTTAGATGCAAAGTGTGATTAGTGCTTAAAAAGGAAAGAAGGGGTACTGTGTGTTAAAAAATGGAGTAGAAGAGGCCTACTTTAGGTTGGCCATATAGTCGAGGTAAAGCACGCAAACTTGAATATCAGATAGACAGAGTTCAAGTTAGTTACCATGTAACTTTGGCAAATTTATTTATCCTTTCTGTGCACCGGTTTACTCACCTACAATATGGAGGTTGTAATAACAGTGCCTACTTCATATGGAGACGATAGGAATAATACTTACCACCCTGGCTGGTTTGGCTCAGCGGTTAGAGCATCAGCCCATAGACCAATGCATCACGGGTTCGATTTCAGTCAAGGTACATACCTGGGTTGCAAGTTTGATACCGGCCCTGGTCAGGGTTGTTTGGGAGGCAGCCATTTGATGTGTCTCTCACATTGATGTTTTTCTCTCTCTCTCCCTCCTTCTCTTCTCTCTCTCTCTAAGAAAAAAAAAATCAATGGAAAATATCCTCAGGTGAAAATTAACAACAGCAACCAAAAAGATGCCTTGGCCAGTTAGGCTTACCAGTTAGAGCATTGGCCCTCGAACCAAAGAGTCTTGGGTTCACTTCCTATCAAGGGCATGTACCTCAATTGCAGTTTGATACCCGGCCCTGGTTGGGGATTGTTCAGGAGACCACCGATTGATGTTTCTCTCTCTCTCTGTCTCTCTCTCTCCTCCTCTTCCCCCTCCCTCCTTCACTCCCTCCCTGTCTGAAAATCAATGGAAAAATATCCTTGGGTGAGGATTGAGCCCAGCAGGTGTGGCTCAGTGGTTGAGTGACGACCCATATACCAAAAACTCACCGGTTCAACTCCTACTCAGGGCACATGCCCAGGTTGTGGGCCCAATCCCCAGTGGGGGGCATGCAGGAGGCAGCCAATTGATGTTCTCCCTCATTGGTGTTTCTGTCTCTCTCTTCCTCCCTCTCTCTCCCTCCCACTCTATCTGAAGATTTTAAAAAATGCAAAAATGTCCTTAGGTGAGGATAAAAAAATAATAATAAATTAGCCTGGTTGGTGTGGCTCAGTGGTTGAGGGTTGACCCATGCACTAAGAGGTCACCGGTTCGATTCCCAGTCAGGACACATACCCAGGTTGTGGGCCAGATCCCTAGTAGGGAGCATGCAGACCAGTCGATGTTCTCTCTCATCGATGTTTCTTTTCTTTTTTTAAAACATTTTTTTCTTTATTGATTTTGAGAGAGAGAAAGAGAGGAAGGGAGAGGGAGAGAGAGATAGAAACATCGATGAGAGAGAACATCGATTGGCTGCTTCCTGCATGCCCCTCACTGGGGATTGAGGCCCACAACCTGGCATATGCCCTTGGCGACCTCTTCATGCATGGGTCGATGTTCAACCACTGAGCCACACTGGCCGGGCTCTCTCATCGATGTTTCTATCTCTCTCTCCCTCTCACTTCCTCTCTCTCTAAAATCAATGAAGGAAAAAAAATTTTTTTAAAGAATAATACTTAACTTATAGGCTTATACTGAGGTTTAATAGAGTTAATGTATGGAAAAGGCTTAAAACAGTGTTATGAACAGAGTGAGTGCAATGTGTTAGCTTGGAGTATTGGGTGGACAAGAAAGGCCTTTCTGAAGAGGTAACATTTAAGATGTTAGGGGGAAAAAGTATAGGGGAGTGTGCTCAGTTTCTTGTTGAAAATAAATTCCAAGTGAGGAAAAGATGCTATTGTTTGTTTTGTTTTGTTTTGTTTTAATCCTCACCTGAGGATATTTTTTTATTTATCTTCAGATAGAGAGGGAGAAAAAGGGAGAGAGAGAGAAACATCGATGTGCTAGAGCCACATCGACTGGTTGCCTCCTGCACGACCCCGACCAGGGCCGGGGGAAAAACAACAACCGAGGTACTTGCCCTTGTCCGGAATCGAACCCGTGACTCATTGGTCTGTGGGCCGAGGCTCTTCCACTGAGCCAAACCAGCCAGGGTGAATTTTTTTTTAATGACTGTCCTCTTTGGAAAACTGGCAATTCACTTTTTCTCATTTCTGAACTCAGTAACTGGGAATGAATCCTACTCAAAATACTTTCTCAGAATTGGGAAGGAGGACAAATAAAGTGCTTGAAAGGAAGGTGTCACCACCATCATTACTTCCCTTGTGGATAAATCAGTGAACAGGTATGTAATGAAAGCAGTTGGTATCCCCTTTCAGTAAAAATAGGTGGGAGTCCTCACATTACCAAACTGGCAGTAAGAAGCTCCTTCCTGTAGGCCACCTCATTCAATGAACCTCACTGTTGACATCCAGAGCAGAGAGAGGGAAGCATCCCTGAGTGTTGGGCAAGTTCTTAGAAGATGCAGAGCTTGCTTACTAGAATATGTTATTAATCTTCCTTGCACAAAGCATGAGATATAGGCTCCTGGTTCTGCCATTCACGTGAGCAGTTAGTAATTTTAATTTCTCTGGGCCTTGATTTCCATTATAAAAATAGATCTCAGAAGTTCCTTCCAGCACTTTCTAAAATGTGATTTCTAGTCTAAAAGCATAGGTCCCACATGGTTGCTCTTTTGCCCACAAACCTCTTCCAATTTCTCTTGTTTTTCTGCAACTCCAGCATGGCACCTTGAAATAGATCTACCCAAAAGACACGGGGGATGTCAAAACATTCTGCAACTCTGAGCAAAAATCTCTATCTAGGTGCACATGGACATATGGCAGAACCAACCTGGCCTTGGTTTTCTTTGCTGAAGAAGAGCAGAATGACTGAGTACTCCTAAACTCCTCTTTGGCAGACAGTCAATGGAGATTTTTCCCATTAATACGGGAATTCACAGAGACTCCAGGTGTTTGAAATAGGTTATTTGAGCAGTGAGAGCTGCAGATCTCAAATTCCATTTTGTCAATAAACTTTCATATGGTTTGAAGGAGCTGAAGGATTTACCAACTGGCCTTTCACCTCTACTATCCAACTGTCTCAGCTGTTCCCTCTGTGAGGTAGGTATTACTGTTCCCATTGTGGAGATGAGGAAACTAGGGCTCTGAGAGGGTAATGAACTTGCCAAATGCCAGGGTTAAATGGTTAATGCTGGAGCCTGGATTTGAACCCAAGTGTGTCTTTCTCTTTCCTACTATGCTACCATAGCTCTGTACTTCAGCAGTTCCCATGTTTCCTTCCTTAGCTGTTTTCTGTATTTCCTAGGATACAACAACTGGCCTCAGACCTCCTAAGCGATTGTGGGATTCTCTAAAACACAGACATAGGTGAGCCACCTCTTCATTTTGAGGAAAGCCACAGAGAACTGATGGTTATGGAAGCCAGAGATAATGCAGATAAATACTTCCCATTCAGGGCGGATGTCTAGGGTTGGTTTATAGCTAGGAATAACATTACACTTTACAGAGGACCATCTGCGCCAGCGGATGGGCACCGAGCACTTTACACACATTAGCTTCAGTATTCCCCGTCATAACCTTGCCACACAAAACTTAGCTCCACCTTACAGGGGCGACACCGAGGCCCAGAGAAAAGAAACTTACCCAAGAATAGATACTCCCATTGACTATATCTTTTTATTCCTTGCACTTTTTACAAACGTACTAGTTAATTGTTTTTCTGTTTAATCTCTCTCTCCCTCTAGTTCCATTGCAAAGTCCAGGAGGCCAGGACCCTTGCTTGTCTGGTTCACCGTCGTGCCTGCCATAGTTACACACGCTAATTCTGGAATGAGTCGGCCGTTTAAGGCGGCAAAGTTTGAACGGGCCTAAAGACTGCGCAGGGAATTATCCCTCCCAAGACAGCACCCTTAACTGTCCCTTTCAGAAACCATTTCTAACGGCCTAACAGCCGCTGGAACTGAAAACATCCTAGCCCCTGTAGGATAATCCAGAATTGGGTCATCCAAGTGGACGCCCAAACGCCGGCATTTTTTCGTTAATCGCTTCCAAGTAGCCCTGCCTTACTGACTCCGCGGGCAGGTAAGACCCCGAGAACAGCTGGCCTATTTGGGGCCCCGGAAATGCATAGAGGGACCTGTACCAGGCCCGGAGGACCCCTCCCCGCCCCCTTTAAGGGCGATCTCCGGGGGACCGACACGGCGGGCGGGGAGGAGCGGAGCAGTTGGCTGCTTCGCTCTTCCGGGGTCTGGGACCAGGCGAAGGCCCAAGCCCCGCCCTCGTTGGGGGCGGAGCCACGGCCCGGGACTGGCCTAAGCCGCCGCAGGTAATGCGAACTGGGGCTGGGGGTCGCAGGACGCGATCCTGGGGCGGGGGCGTCTCACCCTTTAGGGGAGTGGGAGTGGGCCCGGGCTAGGTGGCCGGGGGGCCCCTCCGGCTCTGGTCTGGGCACATTGACAGGAAGGAGTCGGCCTGTTCTCTTCCGACCCTGCCTCCTATCCCCTGTCCCTGCAATGGGGGGATGAGACTGGGGAATATCCCCACCCATGGGAAGTTTATCCCACTGAGCTTTAGGCTTTGGGGACAGCAGTCAGTGACTTAAAGCCAAGGTTGTATTTACCCATTCATTTCCCAGAAATCTCATCCATTTTCTTCATTCATTCATCCCTCACTTCTACTCTATGCCGGGCCCATAGGTAGGTTCTCTGAAGGAATTTGACAGGCCCAACTCTCTTGGAATCTAGTCTAGAGACTTTTACATAGGTAATTACATTCAGGGTGATCTCTGCAATGATGGTGGTTAATAGACACCTTCAGAGGGAGAAGGAAGTAATTTGAGAATGTTAAGTAGAAAGCAGCAAATCAGTGAAGATTTTACTGAGGAGGGTTCATGCCAACCGAGGTGTGGAGGTTGACTAGGAAGGAAAGGAACATTGCAGGTAGGGGAAACAGCAGGGGATGCAAGTTATGAAAGGGCTTGTCATGTTAGAAGAACAACAAACATAGCAAGAACAACTCAATATAGCTAGAAATTGTGGAGGTGAGTTCCTGGAAAGAAGGTTGAGACCAGAAAGCTTTGCACGTGATGATGAGGCCAGGATTTATCCTAGAGTTCAGTATTTCTCAGCCTTTTGAAATGTTTTATCTTTTTTTTTTTTTATCCTCACCCGAGGACACTTTTTCGATATTTTGTTCAGATAGAGTGGGAGGGGGAGAGAGAGAGAGAAACATCGACGTGAAAGGGACACATCGAGTGGTTGCCACCCACACAACCCAACCAGGGCCGGGGACAAACTGCAACCGAGGTACATGCCCTTAGCGGGAACCGAACCCGGGTCTCTCTGGACCGCAGGCCGACGTTCTACCGCTGAGCCAAACCGGCCAGGGCCAAAAATTTATTTTGATACATGCCTCTACCCCATGAAAATTACAGATACACAGAAAACTTTAGCCAAAACACTTATGTAATTATGTTAAGAAAGTTAAATTTGCATCCCAAACATAACTATATCAGAAGGTTGGTAATGCTTATTCAAATTCATCAGATCCTAAAAATTGGTAAAGTTTTAAAGAGGGAAGTGATATGATTTGTTCTGTCTTTTAGATAGAAAGTAATTGTAAATGTCTAAAAAATGCCTTTGTTTCTTGTATGTAGAACACCATGAAGCAGCTGCCAGTCTTGGAGCCTGGAGACAAGCCCAGGAAAGCAACATGGTCTGTAAGGAAGGATTCAGACAGAGAAAAACATAAGTTTTTGTTTTGTATATAAGTAGTTTACTAACATATTTAAACATCTATGGAAAAGGGCAGAGATAAAACTGTTTGCAGTTTCTGATAATTAGATTCAAACTGTGTGAGAAGGTCTTCAGAGGAAACATAGCGGGGCAATAATTATCAGAGCAGATGTTGATTTTATTAAAATCCATTTACCAGGAAGAGGAAGGCACTGACCATCTGGCATCCTCAGCTTCAACACTGTGTCCTCCCCCCAAGTTGTGACTCATTTTTAAGATATTTAGGGAATTGGATTTGGACTAAACTGGCTTCACTGCTTCTTGGCTGCTTGCTCAATCAACCCTTCATTCAACAACAAACACTGGCCTGACAGAGGCAGCTGCTGTGTAGGTGCTGAACGTACAAAGGTGAATAGTCTCACTGTAGTGGGGGCTACAGATGAAGCAGGTGATGGAGATGAAATGTGATCAGTGCTGAAGCAGGATCTTCAGAAGGCTGTAGAGAGGGGTCAGTGCTTCTGCAGGACCTTGGAAGAGAGTCTTCGATCTCGCTTCCCTGTGTCCACTCATGCTCTCTACTCAACATAAGTCTGATCATGGTATTTCCTAGTTTAAAACCCTTTTGTGCCTCCCCATTGGTCTTAGAATCAAAACCAGAGTCCTTAAAATGGCCCACTGGGCCCTGCGTGATCTGTTCTTGCCTGTCTCCAGTCTCAAATCGCCATGCTCATCCTTTGTTCTCTTTCTCTTCCTTCACATGCCTTGTACTATCCCACTCAGCAACTGTATGTTTTGTTCTCTGTGCCTGGATCCTCTTTCCCTTCATCTTTTGTGCCTCTCTTTACCCAACTAACTCTACTCACCATCACATTTCAGTCTAAATGGTGCTTCTTCAGGAAGCCTTCCCTGACTGTCCCTCTCCCCCACCTCTCTCTACAGGGTAAGGTGCCCCTATGATATATTCTAATACTGTATACTCTGTACTCCTTTATAGTGCAGTTGAAATGAAACAGATATTTGTGAAATTATCTGTTTAATATTTCTCTTCTCAACTAGTCTGTAAGGGCTATGAATGCAGGGACTTTTTTTTGGTCTTATTCACCATGTATCTTGATGGCTATGTGCTCTTAAGTAAGTTATTTAACTTTTTTAAGCCTCAGGTCCTTAGTTGTAAAACTCAGATGATGATAATAATACTTTCCTCAAAGGAATTTTATGCAGGTGAAGTGAAACTGGATTGGTAATAAAGTTAGCAGCGTGCATGGAATGTTGTTAGTAATTATTCAGGTGATTATGGGATCTGTGAATTTGGACATCAGAGAGAGATCTGGAAAAGAAAAAGAGATTTTGGAAATTACTGATGAATATGTAGATAGGTGGTAATTGAAGTCATCAGCACAGGTAAAATTGATCAGATAAGAAATGCAGACCAAGACAATCTAAGGGTACTGAGGGTTAGGAGAAGGCTGGCAGGAAAGGAGTCAGAGAAAGAAAGAGAAAAAGCAGCCAGAAAAGTGAGTAGGGAACCAGAAAAAATAAAAAAAGGAGCCCCGGCCAGTTTGGCTCAGCAGTTGGAGCATCAGCCTGCGGACCAGAGAGTTCCGGGTTCGGTTCCCGCTAGGGGCACATACCAAAAAAATAAAAAAATAAAAATAAAAAGGAGGGGAGTAGGGCAGCTAGGTAAAGAGAAGGTACAAGAAAGAGGGAGGAGCTCAGCCCGTGTGGCTCAGTGGTTGAACCTCAACCCATGCACCAAGAGGTCACTAGTTCCATTCCCGGTCAGGGCACATGCCCAGGTTGTGGGTCCGATTTCCAATGGGGGCATGCAGGAGGCGGCCAATTGATGTTCTCTCTCATTGATGTTTCTATCTCTCCCTCTCCCTTCCTCTCTCTCTAAAATCAATAAAGAAAAAAATTCTTTTAGAAAGTACTAAAATATAAAATGTTTAAAAAAAAGAAAGAAAGAGGGAGGAGCCAGAGAAATCAGATAAGATAGGGCCTCAAAAATAGCTAGAGAATTGTCTTTTCCAACCAGGAAGCTTGAAGTATGTTTTCTGAGTCATAATTCAGAACTTTAGAAAGTGGAATGACTGGATCCTGTATTTGACTTTTTAAAGTCCTAGCTTTGGCTTCCATCAGGTCGAGCCTTAGGAGTAATCTGGAAAAGCTCTTAAAATCAGTCAATTCTGGCGAATATTACTTGACAGAGGGAAGCACCACTGGCTAGTGGCAAGAGTGCTGGGGCTGTAGGTTCCTGGTGGTTGCACATAAAGCTCTAGCCACCATTCACTGAGTCCTTTCCTGCACTGTTACAAGTCTTCATCTTACTCTTCACAGGTAGGAACTATTGCTATCCTCATTTTACAAATAAGGAAACTTCAGTTCAAACATCTAGCCCTGGCCTGTTTGGCTCAGCAGTTAGAGCATCGGCCTACAGACTGCAGAGTCACGAGTTTGATTCTTGGTTAAGGGCACATATCTGGGTTGCAGGTTTGATCCCCGGCCCTGGTTGGGGTCATGTGGAAGGCAACCAATCAATGTGTCTCTCTCACGTCAGTATGTCTTCAATGTGTCTCTCTCTCCATCCTATTTAAAAATCAATGGAACCCTGGCCGGTTTGGCTCAGCGGTTGGAGCATTGGCCTGTGGACCAGAGAGTCCCAGGTTCAGTTCCCGCTAGGGGCACATACCTAAATTAATTAATTAATTAATTTTTAAAAATCAATGGAAAAATATCCTCAGGTGAGGATCAATAACAACAACAAAAAAGTCACGCATGTAGAAAGCACCTGAACTAGGTCTTGTCTAAATTTGCAAACTGTGCTCAGAACTACCATCCTGTGCTCAGACACACCACTGAACATTTCTGGGTGTCAGTTTCTCTGTCTACCACATGGGGACAATTACTACCCCAGTGCATCACCACTAGGTCATTGTGAGATGAAAGGAAAAATCAAAGGTTATGTGCAAATGGAAATGCTGCTTTGCTGGGTTTAATTTAAAGTGTCTGTGTCTGTATAAGAGTCTTCATTTTTATATTTCAGGAGGAATAGAAAGAACACACTGCTGCATTTATTCTCTGCTCAGGCCTCCTGAACACATCCTTCCTTTGGCAGGTACACCTTGACCCTCTCTGGAGACAGCCCATGTGCTCGGGTTGGCCACAGCTGCTCATATTTACCCCCAGTTGGTGATGCCAAGAGAGGGAAGGTCTTCATTGTTGGAGGAGCAGATCCAAACAGAAGCTTCTCAGATGTGCACACCATGGATCTGGGTAAGACCAGCAGCGGCAGAGCATATGTCCATAGCCAGAGAGGCAGGGCTTTGTACTGCCAGCCATGGCCAGAGCATTCCTAGGAACACCAGTTCAGACCAGACAACGGGGATTTTCTCTACAAAAATTAACATCACTGAGAGGTCCCTAAGGTCTCAGCAGAGCACCCAACTAATACATCATGTTTTGGGGAAAAGAATCTATATGGAGCCCTAGAAATCCAGCCATTCATTTATCAAATATTTCTCTGGAAGACATTGATGACTCCACCTCCTTTCCTATCCACATATCCAATTAATCAACGAGTCCTAAATATTTCTCTCTTCATCCATGTCTGTCCATTTTCACTACTACTGTAGTCCAAGAATTGTTATCTCAACTAGATATTACAACAGCTTCCTCTCCAGTCTCCCTGCTTCCAAGTTTATCCCCTCTACAGTGTATTTTCCATACCTAGCTGGGGATATTGTCTAAAATACAAATCTGACCAGGGCACTCCTGCATGTCAAGCCTTTCCCAAGTTTATTTCTTGGTTCTCCCAAACCCTCATTTGCTATACTGAGTATCCTTCGGATTCTTGAACACATCCTGAAATCTGGTCTTCAACTCTCTAATCATAGAGTTGGTTTCCTTGGCAACCAGCCTCATCCTTAGAGGCTTTCATAAGATCACCTCGCTAACATAAAATCAGTTATGACTGACCGGGGCTTCTTACATAAGACACCCTTACCTATCTTACCACTTAGGAAATTTCAAGGGTTTGAGGAGCTCTGTGCCTGGAACTGATGAAGGTCAAATATATCTAAATATAAATCACAGTGTCATAACCACCCTCTATATTTTCATAGTAACCTGTACTTTCCCACCCTTATCTCCCTTCATACCCCTTATCTCATGTGTTTGTTTCTCATCTGTCTTCCCCATGAGTATAAGCTCCTTGGAAACAGGAAACATGGTTATATTGCTCACCATTGTATCCCCAGCCGCTAAGTAGGTGCTTTATAGGTATTTGGATGGATGGATAAACAAGTCATTACTACTACTATGTACTATACACAATGACAGAAGAAAACTGATGATTCACATACATATTTTGTCAGGTGCATGTAATATTGTTGTTACTGTTTTAATCTGAGTTGCTTACCAACCAACTGTGCAGAGGTCTACATATACAAATTGAAATGGTTTGGCCTCTCTTGATGATTTTGGAGGATCTGACATCTGTAAGCTTGTGTGTCTACATGGCAACAATTATTTGGAGCTGAGCCGCCACCTATCAATGGGGATCTTGGGCTCCAATTTGCCACATTCCCTCCACTCCTGTGTGGGTATTTGAATTTCTGCACACTGCAATAGAATCAAAGGTAAATTAAATTTCTTCTAGCCCTCAAGAAGCTCACTGTCTAGTTCAGTTACATCCTTATTGTCACCTCTTACTAGCTTTGTGACTCTGGCCAACTGTCTAAACCAGCTGGGCTTCAGTATCCTGTAAAATTGGTTCACTTACAATTGTAAGGACCCAACAAGATAGGCCTGTGAAGGTCCTATGTAAGTGGTTTACTAACTAAAATAGCTAGTTAGGTACTATTATCCTATGAATGTGTTTTAGCCAGAAATTATTTAGTTGTGAGTAACAGAAACTCTTTAAAACTAGCACAAAAAAAGGAGGAATACAAGGGTAGGAAATACAGCCTTGCCTTGGGAGAGAGGGGAATCAGGAACTGGAAAGCTGTAAAAAAAAAATCTACTTTTTTTCTCACTGTCTCTGGGGAGATCTGCTTCTTTATGTAGATATTTCATTCTTCTCTCCTCTATGTTTTGGCTTTCTCTACCATGCATGGTAGAAGGTGGCCACCCACGTCCAGGAATTTGTTTGAATACCAGACTTTTGGGAGGGAGGATATGATTGGCCCATTTGGGGTCAAGTGGCTACCTTTGACCTAATCAGCAAAAGCTGGAAAGTCAAAATGTGGTAGTACAAACTGGCTGGGTTGGGGAAATGGGGGCAGTTTCCATGGAAGAGGGTTTGTGGACACTCCCTGAAGTGTCTACTGTAAAATTTTTTGGAGTTGGACCACATTCCCTGTAAGTGATCTGATGGTTGTTCACTTGTGCTTTTGACCAACTACTTCTCACTCCCCTTCCCCAAGTTTGCTAAGCAATCTAAGCGGTTGGCAGCCCCAATCTAGAAACTGGGTGAAATGTTTTCTAGGAACACACCAGTGGGATTTAGCCACCTCGGAGGGCCTCTTGCCCCGGTACGAGCATGCCAGCTTCGTTCCCTCTTGCACGCCTCACAACATCTGGGTGTTTGGAGGTGCCAACCAGTCAGGAAATCGAAATTGCCTTCAAGTTCTGAATCCTGGTAAGCAGCCAAAGGTTACTTTATTTACCTAAATAAATAAATAAAATTCCAATTTTATTTCCCATACCAAAGCCTATTTGAACTGTACTGAATTATCCATTGAACTTTGCTGACCTTATAGAAAACAGGAATTTAACTACTAGGAGAATCTGAAAATAACAGAATTACATTTTATTTTCCTAGTAACATGTACAATTACCTGCTTCTTAAAAGCCAAAGCTAGAAAACAGCTTTGCCAGGGGGGTGAGCCAGGTCTAGCGACTTTCCTTAAGTTCCTAGGGAGTCAGTAACTGAGCCAGGCTAGAACCTATCACCTAGTTCAGGGTGGTGATTGTGCTCCCCAGGGGACATTTGGCCGTATCTGGTAACATTTTTGGTTGTCCCAACTCGAGGAGGTCAGGGGCAGTTTGCTACTGGTACCTAGTGGGTAGAGACTGGAGATGCTGCTATGTATCCCATAGTGCACAGGACAGCTCCCCACAATAACCAATTATCCGATGTAAAATGCCAGCAGTGCCTGACCTAGATCTTCCTCGTATACTTCCGTTAGCCAAAATAGGCAAAGTTCCTGGCTAGTCTCACTGTTAGTTTTATCACAGAGGAGGCAGTTTAGGAACATCACTACTGAGCAGATGTTGCTGAACCACCGATGGGAGGTGGACTTGTCTTTTTATTAGTTAAAAATTGTTGTTTTATCCCCCTGCCAGTGTGGCTCTGTGGATTGAGCACCAAGAAATCATGGGTTTGATTCCAGGTCAGGGCACATGCCTAGGTTGCAAACCCTATCCCCAATGTTTCTCTCTCTCCCTCTCTCTCTAAAATCAATAAAAAATATATATATTTTAAAAATCATCATTAGCCCTGGCTGGTTTGGCTCAGCAGTTAGAGTGTTGGCCCTTGGACCAAAGGGTTTGGGGTTCAATTTCTGGTCAGGTGTACATACCTGGATTGCAGGTTTGATCCCAGCCCCAGTACTGGTCATGCGGAGGGGGCCAATCAATATGTTTCTCTCACATCAGGGTTTCTCTCTCTAAGCCTGAGATTCTACCGTTTTACCGCTACACTATTGTACCTTTTTCCTTTTAATTTCAAAATTACTGCATAAATGATGTCCTAGTAACAACAGTATTTTGTTAACATCATTTTTAATGGCTGCATAACACTCCATTTTACGACATTATGATAATTCTCCTGTTTTTTAACATTTAGGTTGTTTTCAGATTCTTGCCATTATAAATAACGAAGCAGTGAACCTCTTTGTTCAGAAGACATTGACTGTATTTCAAATTATTGTCTTAGAATTCATGCCCGGAAATAAAAAAATTCTAAGTGAAACACTGGGAACTTAATTTTTTTTAAATATCTTATTTATTTATTTATTTATTTATTTATTTATTTATTTATTTATTTATTTTGGTACGTGCCCCTAGCGGGAACCACACCTGGGACTCTCTGGTCTGCAGGCCAACACTCCATCCGCTGAGCCAGACCGGCCAGGGCTAAAATATCTTTTTATTGATTTTTTTAGAGAGAGAGGAAGAGAGAGAGAGAGAGAGAGAAACATGGATGTGAGAGAGAAACATCCATCGACTGCCTCCTGCACACCCCCTACTGGGGATTGAGCCTGCAACCCAGGCATGTGCCCTGCGTGGGAATTGAACTGGACCTCTCAGTCCATGGGAAGATGCTGAATCCACTGAGCTACACCAGCCAGGCCACTGGGAAGTTTAAGGCTTTTGATATGTGTTCCCCAATGTCTTTCCAGAAAGATTTTTTTTCCAACTTATCTCCAGCTGTGTTTAAATTTTTTTTTCCTTTATTGATATTAGAGAGAGAGGAAGGGAGAAGGAGAGAGAGATAGAAACATTGATGAGAGAAAACATCAACTGGTCACCTCCTGCATGCCCCCAACTGGGGATCGGGCCCACAACCTGTGCTGTGTCCCGACCTTATCCAGAATCAGACCGGCGACCTCTTGATGCATGCGTTGATGCTCAACCACTGAGCCACACCTGCAGGACTCCAGCTGTGTTTAATAATGCTTGTTTTACTCCTGACTGACGTAGAATCTATTATTTTTAAACACTGCTAATTTGATTAGGCAAAACAACTTGTATCTGATTGTTTAAATAGGCAAAACAACTTGTATCTGATTGTTTAAATATGCATTTTGTTAATTACTAGTAACTTGGACATTTTTTTCACATGACAATCAACTCGTGCCCAGTTTCCTCTATCAACAATAGATTTATGTGCAGAATAGTTGGTCTTCTTTGTTACTTTGGGATATTAATAGTTCCTACCTTGCTGAGTTTGGCAAGGATTTACATTAACTCAATATCTGGCACAATAATGGTTGTTGTGGTTGATGTAGCTATAGTTTGGCAGATGAAACTCTGTCTGGAACCCTGGTCTTTTGATTTTCAACGATGGCAATTATTTAAATAAAATATACCAAGAATTTGGAAAGCCTCTGTGAAAGGAATTGATTTTCCACCAGATCCTTTTTTTTTCTCCTAGAAAGTATAATTTGACACCATGCCCAAAAAGTATGAAAGATGAAAGTGAATCATTAGTTGCTTTTATTGGGAAGGCAAGTCTGTCGAATGGCTTAGAACTCCTTTGTGATTATTTGTGCTGCTGTTTGACTTGGCAGCAATACAATCCCAGGATCTTCTGACTCTGAAGGTTGTGAGCCTTCTAACTTCCCCTAAGATCCTAAAGCTCCTTAAGCTCTGTAGCTATAGAGACAATTTCATTTGCTTTGGATATAGGCTGAAACTTGTTTGGTCTCCAGGTTCATGTCTGAGCCCCACACATTTACAGATGATTCATGGGTCACTTTGTATATTGAATGAAGACTTCTACAAAAAGCACAGAATTTGCCAGGCAAGAAATAATCCCTGGTGTGTTATAGTAGAGTAAGTGTGGGAGTCTTGACAGGTCTGAGTTTAAACTCCTACTCTGCTGCTCACAAGCTCTGTGACCTGGAGAAAGTATTTAAGTTTTCTGAAGTTCAGTTCCCTCATCTGCAAAGTAGAGATACTTTCTGCCCTAGAGTTGAGTGAGGATAGTGGGGTTGACAGAGTGCTCAGGGCAATGATTCTGCACAAGGAAGGTACTCAATTAATACATCTATTTCTATAAAATTCACACTTCATTCTAGAAAGAATTAAGCTTTCGGCCATTTGGCTCAGTGGCTGAGCATTGATCCATGCACTAAGAGGTCACCGGTTCGATTCCCAGTCAGGGCCTGTGCCCAGGTTGTGGGCCCAATCCCCAGTGGGGGGCATGCAGGAGGCAGCCAATTGATGTTCTCTCTCATCAATGTTTCTATCTCTCTCCCTCTCCCTTCCTCTCTCTCTAAAATCAATAAAGAGCCCTGGCCAGTTTGACTCAGCAGTTAAGAGCAGCGGCCTGCGGTCCAGAGAGACCCAGGTTCAGCTCCCGCTGAGGGCACGTACCTTGGTTGTGGTTTGTCTCTGCCCTGGCTGGGTTGTGTGGGTGGCGACCACTTGGTGTGTCCCTTTCACATGGATGTTTCTCTCTCTCTCTCTCCCTCCCACTCTATCTGAACAAAAAATGGAAAAGTATCCTCTGGCGAAGATAAAAAAAAAATCAATAAAGAAAAAAATTTTTTTTAAAGAAATAAGCTTCTGTACACTTACCCAGGTGATAAAATTTTATTCTCAAGTCAGAAGAGTGGAAAATACTTAGATCTTGGTGTTATTGAAATAAAATTTGAATCCCAACTCAACCATTTGTTGGCCATGTCACCGTAGATGAGTGACTTCATCGATCTCTGCTTAATTCCTTTATCTGTAAAATGGAAAATTAATATTTATTTAGCACTTATTATTTAGGTAGAAACAAATTACTACTACTGAAACCATAAAAACACTGTCTACTATTTTCTGTTTTGTTTTGTTAATCCTGACCTGAGGATATTTTCCCATCAATTTTTAGATAGAGTGGAAAGGGAGGGGGGAGAGAGAGAAACATCAATGTGAGAGAGACACATCAATTGCCTCCCACACAACCCTGATTAGGGCTGGGGATTGAACCTGCAACCCAGGTTCGTGCCCTTGACCAGGAATCGAACCTGTAACTCTGTGGTCCTTTGGTTGAGGCTCTAACCACTGACAAAACCAACATGTCTACTTTCTTTGCTTTCTTCTTCTTCTTTTATCCTCACCCAAGGATATTTTTCCATTTATCTTCAGACAGAGTGGAGGGGGAGAGAGAGAGAGAGAGATGTGAGAGAGACACATCAACTAGTTGCCTCCCACATGGCCCTGGCTGGGGATGAACTGCAACCAAGGTACGTGCCCTTGACCGGAATCAAATCCGCAACTCATTGGTCCATGGGCCGATGCTGTAACCGCTGAGCCAAACTGGCCAGGGCCTGTCTACTTTCTTTTAATGGCCACATATCCTGGGAAATTTGTCACATTTGGTTTCTAGCATAGTGGGAATGATTTTTAGCAGATGTTGGGTTCCTCTTAATGGCATAGGACAGGAGTCAGCAGAGTGTAAGAAGGTTCAGAGAGGATGTTTGAAGGCTTCCAAAAGCAAATTGACTTCATTTTTCATTGCACTTGTGGTTTTTTTGTCTTAGAGATTTGGGTCTATCTGGGCAAATTCTAAATCGCCCCTTATCTATCCTTGACTTTAGTGGCATGAGTTCACTGCCTTGACCTACAGTGTCCCCCTTGAGGATTGGGGTTTGGAAGGTGGCCCTGCCCAGCCCCAGAGTCAAAGTCAGAGGACCCCCAGTCTGGGTATTTTAGGTGCTTCCCTTCTCTCTGGACTAGAAACCAGGACTTGGACCACGCCAGAGGTGACCACTTCTCCACCATCACCAAGAACATTCCACTCATCATCGGCAGCTATTGGAAACCAGCTGTATGTGTTTGGGGGCGGAGAGAGAGGTGCCCAGCCCGTGCAGGATGTGAAGCTTCATGTGTTTGATGCAAGTATGGATGGGTGGGGATCTCGGGGCTGCTTCTTACCTGGTCCACAGCTTACCTAATATAGGAAGCAGAGGTTAGAAAATGACATTCTGGCTGAGTGTCTTACCTCTAGACTCCTTCCCACAGCAAAACTTGCATTTACGAAGGTATAAATGATCAATTTAAAAAATGTGAACAGTGTCAAAGGAGGGAGGCAAGGGGGAGGGACAAGATAAACCAAAGAAATTATATGCATGTATGCGTAACCAATGGACATAGACAACAATGCAGGGGAGGGTGATCGGGAGGAGGGTATCTAGTAGGGGAAAAGGAGAAACATCTGTAACAAAAATAAATTAATAAAAATTGCAAAAACATGTGAACAGTGTAGTTTATAAGTAAAAACATAAAAGTTTCCCCATTAACCTTTCTTTCCTACCCCCCAGACAGAGGTAAACGCTGTTGGCAGTTCCTAATTTCTCCTTCCAGACTTTCCTATGCATTAATAGATCTTACATATAAGTGTATATGAACATGTATGAATTTTGAAATTATTTTTATTTAATTAATTAATTTATTTATTTAATCCTCACCCGAGGACACCTTTCCATTTTTGTTTAGATAGAGTGGGAGGGAGAGAGAGGAAGTGAGAGAGAGAAAGGGACACATCAAGTGGCTGCCTCCCGCACGACCCAACCAGGGCCGGTAAAAAACTGCAACCGAGGTACATGCCCTGAGCAGGAACCAAACCCGGGCCTCTGTGGACCGCGGGCCAATGCTCCAACCGCTGAGCCAAACCAGCCAGGGCTTTTAAAATATTTTCTTTCTTTCTTCTTCTTCCTTCTTCCTTCCTTCCTTCCTTCCTTCCTTCTTCCTTCTCCTTCCTTCCTTTCTTTCTTTCTTTCTTTCTTTCTTCTTTCTTTCTCCTCACCTGAGGATATTTTTTCTGTTTATCTTCAGATAGAGTGGGAGGTAGAGAGGGAGAGAGAGAAACATTGACGTGAGAGGGATACATCCACTGGTTGCCTCTCGCATGACCCTGACCAGGGTGGAGGATGAACCACAACTGAGGTACATGCCCTTGACTGAAATCGAACCCATGACTCTTTGGTCTGTGGGCCAATGCTCTAACCACTTAGCCAAATCAGCTAGGGCTTTATTGATTTTTGGAGAGAAAGGGAGAGAGAGAGAGAGAAACATCGATGTGAGAGAGATACATCGATCAGCTGCCTCCTGCACGCCCCTACCAGGGACTGAGCCCGCAATCCAGGCATGTGCCCTGACCTGGAATCTAACCAGGACCTTTCAGTCCATAGGACGATGCTCAGTCCACTGAGCCACACCGGCTGGGCTGAATTTTGAAATTATTAAAAACTTAAAAGCACACACATGGAATCAAATTATAAATACTGTTATGCAGCTCTTTTGTAGGGGCAAGGGTAGATCTTAATGGTTGAAAGCATGAACTTTGAAGCCATATAACCTGGACTCAACCAGATCTGACATATATATTCTGTATTACTTTAGCCTAGTAACTTAATCTCTCTAGGCCTTAGTTTACTGATCCGTAGAAGTAATAACAGTGCCTACTTAAGGATATTGTCTTAGAAAAAGAACACTCAGAGCCTGCCTTAGAGGAAGCAGACTCATTCTAGGTGTAAGTTGAAGCTTAAAGGAGGTTTGTTTGTTTGTTTGTTTGTTTATTTATTTATTTATTTATTTAATAGAGTGTGAGGGAAAGAGAGAGAGAGAAACATTGACATGAGAGGTACACATCGACAGGTTGCCTTCCTCACGACCCTGACCAGGGCCAGGGAAAAACCACTACCAAGGTACATGCCCTTAGCCGGAATGGAACCTGTGACTCATTGGTCCATGGGCCGACGCTGTAACTGCTGAGCCAAACTGGCCTGGGCAAGGGAGGTCTTTTTACATTCAAGGCAAGGAATGATTTCCTAATGCCCAGTAGAAAAGGATGGGCTTGTTAGGTAGTAAACTCTCCAGCCCTGGAATTGTCCAAGCAGAGGCTGAACAGGCTGTGGAGAGTGTTGGCGAGTTGGAGTGAATGACTCCAAGGTCACTTTCTGCTTGGAGCATCTCTGCTTGCTGGGTGTTTTTCTTGTGTTCTTGCTTCATAGCTTTGTCCTCTGATATCAATGAATTTACTTTTCTAGACACACTGACCTGGTCACAACCAGAGACACTTGGAAAACCTCCATCCCCACGACATGGTCATGTGATGGTGGCAGCAGGGACGAAGCTCTTCATCCATGGAGGCTTGGCAGGGGACAAATTCTACGATGATCTTCATTGCATTGATATAAGTAAGTAGGGTGGAGGGCATGGGAGCTTGTCTGCTTAAAATGAAATAAAATGTGCTTTGATAGAATATAGCCTTGATCTTAGATGTGGGTAACTTATCAGAATCGTCACTAGATTCTGTCTAATGTGACCTGAATACTACTAATAATAAATAATAACAATAAAAGCAGTACTTTTCTGAGCTTTTGCTATGTACCTAGCTATTAATTATCTCATCTCCTTCCAACAACCCTGCTCTTTCATTAAAATTCCTTATACTTTGTGTTCCCCAGCTGGATTTCTTTCAGGCATTAGCAATTAACCCCATGCCCATGAGAGGCATGGGCGACTTCTAGAGTATGTCTGGAGGTGGGCAATCAGAACTCTCATGCTAAATAGTTAAAAACACCAGGAAGAGAAAAGTTAGGGAGGACACGAGAATTGTCTTAAAGTGTCTGAAGGGCTGGCATGCCCTAGAGAGCCTGGCCTCATTCTGGGTCATTCTTTCAGACTGTGAGCTCCTTAGAACAGGGACTTTGTCTCTTTTATTCCCCATTTTATTTCCAGCACTTAGCACAGTGTCTGGTAGATCGTGGGTGATGAGTGCATATCTCTTAAGGGGTAGATGGATGAACAAATGAACGTGTTCTAGACTACGAGAATTAGAACAGTGGGCAGAAAGCATGGGAACTGCTGTGCACTGTATTCAGCTACCTTGCCAAACAATGGGTTCTCTGGTTTGATGACATCTGAGGCCAGGTGACACTGGCTGGGATTCCTGCATTGACTAGAATGTTGGCAGGACTGGGTGCTTCTCCCTTCCAACTCTAGATCCCTGCTTGAATTGACAGATAGAAAATATCTTCACAGAAGTGTTTCTTGCAGGAAGTCAAAAAGTTTGAATGCTTTTTTTTTCAATCCTTACCCAAGGATATTTTTACATTTATCTTCAAACAGAGTGGGAAGGGGAGAGAGAGAAACATCAGTGTGCGAGAGACACATCGATTGATTGTCACCCACACGACCCCAACTGGGGCCGGGGACCACCTGCAACTGAGGCACATGCCCTTGGCCGGAATCGAACCCGGGACTCATTGGTCCGCAGGCCGACACTCTAACTGCTGAGCCAAACCAGTTAGGGCTGAATATTTATTTTTAAAAAGAAAGTCCTTTTCTCTTGTGCTGAGGAACTACTTCCTTGCTCTTTTTCCTATCTAGGTAAATTTCTAAACCTAAAATCCAATGATATCCAGCGTCATTTAAATACTTGTTTGGAAAGATGCAAATATCCCTGCAGAAGTAGGTTGGGAGTAGGTGCTGAGGCAACAAGTTACAGTATAGAGAACACAGGTTTTGGAGTCTGACCTGAGTACAATTCTAGCCCTGCTTCTTGCTAGCTGTGGGATCTCAGACAAGTCTCTTTCCCTCTCTAATCCTGTTTCGTTATCTGTAAGAAGAAGGAGAGTAAGCAGAAACAACAGCAATTTCATAGGGCTGTTAGGAGAATTAAGCAAGCAAGATGTTTGTGTATGTTTGTTTGTTTGTTTTTAAATGTTTTTTTGTTTTGTTTTGTTTTTTGTTCAGACAGAGCGGGAGGGAGAGAGAGGGAGAGAGAGAGAGAGAAACATCGACGTGAAGGGACACATCGAGTGGTTGCCACCCGCACGACCAACCAGGGCTGGGGACAAACTGCAAACGAGGTACGTGCCCTTAGCGGGAACCGAACCCGGGCCTCTCTGTACCGCAGGCCGACGCTCTAACCGCTGAGCCAAACCGGCCAGGGCTGTTTTTAAATGTTTTTATTGATTTTTTTTTTTTTTTTTTTAGAGAGAGAGAGGAAGGAAGAGAGAGATAGAAACATCACTGTGAGAAAGATATATCAACTGTCTGCCTCCTGTATGCCCCCTACTGGGGATCAAGGCCACAACCCTGGGCATGTGCCGTGACTGGAAGGAGTATCAGTCCATGGGATAATGTTCAATCCACTGAGTCACACTGGCTGCAGGCAAAATATTTAAAGTGTCTAGCTATCACTTGCAAAGTTGCTTTCTAAGGAATTGTTAGTATTTAAAGCACTCACGTGGAAACTCACCTACTTCTGGGCTCCAAAATAGCTAATGGTGGTGATGATCACCAAAGGTACTATGACATTTTTCAGTGAGCTCTGGAGACCACCTACATCAGAATGACCTGAGATGTTCATTAAACTATAGATTACTCCCTTTCCCTGGATGACCCAAACAGGATTTCAAGCTCTCCCAAGTAATTTTTTTGCAGACTAACCTTGCTCTTAGAGCTCCTAGTCAGTGATGTTCAGTGATTGGTTTGTGAACTGCAGGAGTCTGAGAGGTTTGAAAGTACATTACAGGCCATGGTGTATCCATTTTCTTTCTCTTGGCAGGTGACATGAAGTGGCAGAAACTAAGTCCCACTGGGGCAGCTCCTACAGGCTGTGCTGCCCACTCAGCTGTGGCTGTGGGGAAACACCTGTATGTCTTCGGAGGGATGACTCCCACAGGAGCACTGGACACAATGTACCAATATCACACAGGTAAGCAGGTGTACCCTGGGGGCCTTTATATAATTTATTTACTGATTGACTTTTTTTTTTTTCTTGGTAATCCCCACTGGAGGATATATTTTTCCATTGACTTTTAGATAGAGAGGAAGAGGGAGGGAGAGAGAGAAACATCGATGTAGGATGATTGGTTGCCTCCTGCACGACCCTGACTGGGGTGGGGGATCAAGCCCCCAACCCAGGTACACGCCCTTGACCAGGAATCAAACCTGCAACTCTTCAGTCCACGGGGAAAAGAGAGAGACAGAAACGTTGATTTGCTGTTCCACTTATGTGTGCACTCAGTTGATTTTTTTTTTCTTTTTTTTTTTTCCCCATTTATCTCAGATAGAGTGGGAGGGACAGAGAGAGAGAAACATCAATATGAGAGAAACACATTGACTGGTTGCCTCCTGCAGGAGCCCTACCAGGGCCAGGGACGTGCCCTTGACCAGAATCAAACCTGTGACTCTGGTCCGCGGGCCAACGCTCTAACCGCTGAGCCAAACTGGCTAGTGCTCATTAGTTGATTGTTATATGTGACCTGACCGGGGATCAAATTTGAAACTTTGGTGTATTAGGACAATGCTGTAACCAACTGAGCTATCTGGCCAGGGCCCTGTGAGTCTTTTTGTTTTTTAATCTTCACACGAGGACATTTTCTTTCCATTTTTGTTCGGATAGAGTGGGGTGGGGAGAGAAAGAAACATCTATATGAAAGAAACACATCAACTGGTTGCCTTCCATGCAACCCCGACCAGGGCTGGGGATGAACTGCAACCGAGGTATGTGCCCTTGACTGGGATCAAACCCACGATTCATCAGTCCATGGGCTGAGGCTCTAACCGATGAGCCAAACTGGCCAGGGCATCCCTGTGGGTCTTAACAAATGTGACTATTTTTTTAAGTTACCCAGTGCTTTGGTTTTTTCAGTTTGGTTCCTCTACATCTAAATCCAAGGGAATGAAAACCAAACTTTTAGGGAATGACATCATCAAAGCAGTACCACCACCGTTAGTTTTTGTTGTTCATTTTCTATTTCTTTTGGTGTTCAGGTGATACAGCAAATCACTGAGCATTTCTGGAAATTTCTTAACACAGAGCCTTTCTTTTTTTCCCCTAACAGAGATGCAGCATTGGACCTTACTTAAATTTGATACTTTTCTACCCCCTGGACGATTGGACCATTCCATGTGTATCATTCCATGGCCAGTGATGTGCACTTCTGAGGAAGATCCAAATTCTGTCACTCTCAGTTGTGATGCTGAGAAAGGGGACTGCACTGACAAAGGAGTGACCCAAAGTGGTGACTCACGTGAGGAAAGTCAGGCTGACTCACTGCTCTGTTTTGTGTTTGGTGGGATGAATACAGAAGGGGAAATCTATGATGATTGTATTGTGACTGTAGTTGACTAATAAAACCTACATTTTTGTTATTTTTAATATCAATTACATTTAGAAAAGTTAAGTGAAACCTTAGCGGTTTCATACCTCCAAAGTATTTTTTGCACTATATAATCCTCTTATATATGAACTGGATAGCCCAGTGTAAAAACTTCTATTATAGAAAGGGTTTTACCAGCAATACAATCTAGGTGAGATTGGTTGCTAAAGATAGTAATCACAAAAATGTTGAAGAATCATGATTGTTAGATACAACATAAGCTGTATAAGTCAGGGAGTGGGCATTTACAGGTTCAAGTGTGTTTTTAATGTTAAGTAGCTGCTCCTCAGAAAGGTGCAGACTGTCGGCGTTTGGCAGTGAGAGCTATTGAGGTCAGGGAAGAAGACTGGTCCAGAAAAACTGGTAGCCTTTCCCAACTACCCACTAAACCCAGTGCACATAGCACTGCGGTCATCATTGTTTGTATTCAACTTGGCCTGAAGACCAAGTATTACTCCAGGCCCATCCAAATGCTTCTTCTGGGCATTGCAGCCAAGGTCCTGGCCTCAGTGTAAGACAATCATGCTACCAGGTCCCAGTTCTGCCAGTTAGCAAATTAACCTTTCAGCCAGTTGCCCATCCAAAAAATAGTTATCTGCCTGGCCGACGTGGCTCAGTGGTTGAGCGTTGACCCATGCACCAAGATCGCCAGTTTGATTTCCGGTCAGGGCACATGCCCAGGTTGTAAGCCTGATCTCCAGTGGGGGGCATGTAGGAGGAGGCCAATCAATGTTCTCTCATTGGTATTTCTCTCCCCCCCCCCCCTCTAAAATAATAAAGAAAAAAAATTAAAACAAAAAACCCAAAATAGTGATCTTTGGCTCTTATTGGATTTCATGTTAACAGATAGTCTGCCCGTTACTGATCATACTACTTATTCACTATCCCTTTTCCTCGGGAAGCCAATCCAAGTAATCTTGAACTTGTCAATGACACAAATGACTGCCTGTGATCCACGATTACAGTGGAGCTTAATGTAGTTTCAAGGTCACCATCCTAGATTCCACTCCAGTACCACTCGTATTGAGAAATTTCAGATGGGGATTCTGACATTATTTTACACCCTGAAATAGTGAATTAAATGCAAGTGCGCAAAGTTAACATCAGTATTCCATCTCTCTGTCAAGTCTTAGGAAAATACAAGCAGCCATAAAGCATCATTAATAGTAAAAGGCCACCAGAAAGCATTTAAAAAAGATAAGGGAAAACAGGCCATTTCAAACATGTTTAAGAAAACTCCATCTTGGGCATTGTGAAATGACTCTTGCCCTTAGTGAGGATATGGGTGAATTAAACTGAAGTTAGGAAGTTCCCAAAGAGTACTGAATAAAAATGTTTCCTTACCTAAAAACCCCAACACTCCTCTCCCTCATGAGAATCTAAACCTAAAATAAAGGACTGACCTAATTAGAAAGCTTATCACAAAAGTTAGACCAGTGTAAATAACAAACATTTATTGGTGTCACTTATGGTAGAAAATAAAGTTCCTACACCAGATGCACATGACCCGATTGTTAAATAGAACATTTCCACAGCGAACACAGGCCCTAATCCAGCTTTTTACCCACTTTTTAAGACAGCCAATTTCTCCTCTTCCCCCACCCCAAGACATGTGAGCAACTGCTAATGAAAAGCAGTAAACAGCCACTTGGGCTATAGCATTTTCAACTCCACTCCAAGGTGAAGATTCCAATTACATTTGAGACTTAAGTTCTCTCAATTTTCTCCTAACGAAAGTTCCTGAGTCCAGTATTTACAATATTATAGCACTAGCAGAGCAGTGTCTACAACTCATCTTTGTCTGCTGATTCCTCATCACCAGTTGGGGGAGGGCCTGCACTTCCATAGAGTTTGCTGATAATTGGCTGAACAATTTCTTCTAGTTCCTTCTTTTTAGCTTTGAAATCTTCGATGTCAGCATCTTGGTGACTTTCCAGCCATTCAATCTTTTCCTCTACGGCTTTTTCCATGGTCTCCTTATCTTCAGAGGAAAGTTTACCTCCTAGCTTCTCTTTATCTCCAATCTGATTCTTTAGAGAATAGGCATAACTTTCCAATTCATTTCTAGTATCAATTCGCTCCTTAAGCTTTTTGTCTTCCTCAGCAAACTTCTCTGCATCATTAACCATCCTTTCAATTTCTTCAGGTGTCAGGCGATTCTGGTCATTAGTAATTGTGATCTTATTTTTGTTGCCTGTACCTTTGTCTTCAGCTGTCACTCGGAGAATGCCATTCACATCTATCTCAAAGGTGACTTCAATCTGTGGGACCCCACGGGGAGCAGGAGGAATTCCAGTCAGATCAAAAGTTCCCAGGAGATGATTGTCTTTTGTCAGGGGGCGTTCACCTAGAAGTTACACACAAAAATCTTTGTTAGTTGTTAATGACAAACATTAGTACATCTGGATCTCTACATTTCAGTCTGTAAGAGTCTACAGTGGCAAGGGCACTCTTATCAAGCCAGAAGCAGGTCACTAGTCTATAAAAAGCAACAAATGGGACTAATAGTGAACTATTACTACTAACTCTTAAATGAATTTCACTTACTTTATATGAACGCTTTTCTTGTTCTTGTATTCTAGAGCTAGCTCACAAATTATTTTTAATGGGAAGGAGTGCTAGATAGCTAGATATGAACTGGATTTTAATAGTGACTACACCAAACTCAACACTTGTCAAATTAGGAACCCCCATCTGAGAACAGCAGATCTTTCTTTCCCTGTACTTTTCAGTAGAGTATATTAAGCAGAAGTCATGCTGTTCACATACACACCATGAATATTAATAAATGTAAGCAATTACCTTCATAAACCTTGATTGTAACAGTTGGTTGATTATCAGAGGCTGTAGAAAAGATTTGTGACTTCTTGGTGGGTACCACAGTGTTCCTTGGAATCAGTTTGGTCATGACACCTCCCACAGTTTCAATGCCAAGCGTAAGAGGACATACATCAAGCAGTACCAGATCACCTGCAAAGGTAATATAGGGTTAAGTTCTAATTAAAGAGCTGTAGGAGCACTACCAAGCAGTCTCCCTATGACCAGTTCAACTTGATCTTCTTCATCTTGCTATTTGGTTAAGTTCTATGTAAAATCATTTTAGAAAGTGAATTAAATATAGCTGTGCCCTGGCCGGTCTGGCTCGGCGATTAGAGAATTGGCCCGCAGTCCAATGAGTTGCGGGGTTCAATTCCATTCAAAGGCACACTTTGGTTGCAATTCGTCCCCTGCCCTGGTTGGGGTCGTGTGGGAAGCCGCCATTTGATGTGTCCCTTTCACATTGATGCCCCCCCCACTCTACCTGAACAAAGATGGAAAAAAGTCCTTGGGTGAGAATAAAAAAATTAAAAAAAATATATATATATAGTTGCTGCGTGGCTAGTGTGGTTCAGTGGTTGAGCGTTGACCCATGCACCAAGAGGTTGCCGGTTGGATTCCTGGTCAGGGTACGTGCCCAGGTTGTGGGCCAAATCCCCAGTGTGGGGCATGCAGGAAGCAGCCAATTGATGTTCTCTCTCATCAATGTTTCCATCCCTCTCTCCCACTCCCTTCCTCCACCTCTAAAATCAATAAAGAAAAAGAACTACCCTCTTCCAAGACATATTTTTAAAATAAATAAAGGAAGATCTTGAAACTACACCAGGTCTTGTCCTTACTGTACCATTTAGTAGCTGTGTGACCTTGCTGTTCATATTCTATTGCTTTTTAAAGCAACAGTTAATTATACTCTTCCCATTAAGTTGCTGAAGCACTGGACATTGACCTACCTGTATCTTGATCACCAGAGAGTACACCAGCCTGGACAGCAGCACCATACGCTACAGCCTCATCTGGGTTTATGCCACGGGATGGCTCCTTGCCATTGAAGAACTCTTTAACCAGTTGTTGAATCTTTGGGATTCGAGTAGAGCCACCAACAAGAACAATTTCATCAATATCAGACTTCTTCAAATCAGAATCTTCCAACACTTTCTGGACAGGCTTCATGGTAGAACGGAACAAGTCCTGGAATAAGAGACATTAATCACCGTGATGATGCCTGTTACACTGAGATATCGTCTAGATTTCTAAATGCATTGTCCCAAACCCAAGAGAATCTAACTAGATCTCATCAGCGAAGCAAAAAAAAAAAAAAACCCCAAGAAACATACCATGTTCAGCTCTTCAAATTTGGCCCGAGTCAGGGTCTCAGAGAAGTCTTCTCCTTCAAAGAAGGACTCAATTTCAATTCTTGCTTGATGTTGAGAAGACAGGGCCCGTTTGGCCTTTTCTACCTCACGCCGGAGTTTCTGTACAGCTCTGTTGTCTTTCCTAACATCTTTGCCAGTCTTCTTTTTGTACAGCTTGATGAAGTGTTCCATGACACGCTGGTCAAAGTCTTCACCACCCAGATGAGTATCTCCATTAGTGGCCACAACTTCGAAGACACCATTATCAATGGTGAGAAGAGACACATCAAAGGTTCCACCACCCAAGTCAAACACCAAGATGTTCTTCTCCCCTTCCCTCTTATCCAGGCCATAAGCAATAGCAGCTGCTGTTCTGTGAGAATAAAAAAATAAATTCAGTTAAGTTTACAGTTTCCCTATTTAGCAAATATGCCATCCATCCCTTTGAATTTAACACTTACGGCTCATTGATGATCCTCATAACATTCAATCCAGCAATCGTTCCAGCATCTTTGGTTGCCTGGCGTTGGGCATCATTGAAATAGGCTGGTACAGTAACAACTGCATGGGTAACCTAAAAAAATGACAGAAGGTAATTACGTGTACTTTATCACATGGCTTAACCCTTAAGTTGCAATCAAAGCATCACTTTAGTTTCTAAGCCAGTTTACTTGTAAGATGGGCATAATATATATAATTTTATATCCAAGGAAAGTCCTTAGTATTTTGTTTGGCATGCAGCAAAGCATGCAATTAAAACTGATATACATAGATGTCATTCAAATTCAAATTATTAAAACGATGAAGGCATTTATACAACACA